AGGGGGAGGAAAACTCGGGAGCCCAGGGGGGGGGGTTGTTTAAAATTTATTTTTTTTTTTTTTTTTTTTTTTTTGCTTGTTTTACATCATGTTTTAACGTTATTCCCTCATTAAAAACATACCTGGAGTCTTGCTTTGATTCTTTCATGCATGTTTGATGAATCCTTTAGTTTCCCCTGTTAGCTTTTCTGGGGTACCTTAATGTTTGCTGTCTCAAAGCCCCGTCCATTTCCAACTCGGCTCCTCTAGACTAGCGGCAGCAGCAATTAGCAAAAACCTGCTGGAACTGAGCTCACCGAATGAACTACTTCTTGGTCCAACAATTTACAAAACGGTTGCACACGACACATGATGACGTTTCAGAAAGAGCAGGAGCTTCTTAAAGAGACGGAGGCCCAATTATAAGTCGTTAAATTTTAAAGTCACATTTGGAGCAATATAGCATATTTATGACAACTGTCACTATAACACATTTTGCTGGGTGATAAATTGTCCTAGTAATGATTATATAAACCGTAATGTTGTTTTGAGATTATTTTCAAGTAATCTATCAACAGTGGCTTAATTATGCACCAGTAGATTTAATTTATCAGACCCTTATAACAACATTTCTGTCCAAAATTATTTGAAATCATCCGTTTTGGATGAATAGATTACACAACAAAAACCAAAACTGTTTAAGTATAAACCTGTGAAACGATCTGCACCTGTTTGTGTCACCTGAACATAAACAGAAGTTTAAATCCGTATTTAAATCCTGCGTCTTCCCTCAGAGTACCAGCTGACCAGTGCGGACATCACTGCTTTACACGCTCTCGCGTCACCAGGCGGCTTGTTGCCGACCAGCGTGTCCACATGGCAACAACAGCAGGCCGTCTCCCAGCAACAACAGCCCCAACAGCAGCAGCAACAGCAGCAGCAGCTTAACCTTGCATCACTCAGCAACTTGGTGTAAGTCTCCTGATTTTGTTTTCCCTCTGCAGACATGTAGGAAATGTTTGTAACATCCTCATCTAACAGCTCAGTGTTCTGATAACAGCTGGCATACTGACCCTACCAGTTGCTTGCATTATATGCATACCATGACCTCCAATGCAAGCAACTTGCATCCTCTTTAGTGACCCGGTTTGCATGTCACCATTGCCATCACATCGATCTGAATAGTTTCCTGTGGCTTTTATTAAACCATCAGTTGTGAGCAGGGGGTAGCAGGTTGGCTTTGCCACTTTTCAAGAAGGTATTATAATAATACAGATGTGATTTGATGATATTTTGTTTGTTAAAACAACTGTTTGACTAGAACAAGGGTGTCAAACTCATTTTCCTCTTGGGGCAAATCAAGATAAAGAATATTCTTAAGAGCCAGTTGTGCCAGGATGTATTGATAAAACCGATAAATAAACTTAAAATATTAATAAATAGCTTTCTCTGCATTTTATAACTAGTACTTACAATTAAATATTGAACATCTTTTCACATTGTTCAGTCCCTCCAGGATTTTGTGATTGTTTGTTGCTATCAAAGTCACTAATTTTATGGTGCTAATTTAGAAATATTTCCAAAAATATTTTTGCAACATTTGCGCTAATGTAAGTATGACTTTTTGTTCCTCACCATACTGATCGCTGACTGTTTGCCATCAAACAACGCCGAGGCAGTAGTGTTGTAAAAGCAAGAAATACTGCCTCCTACAGGAGAGAGTTGGCATAACTTAAACCCAAAAAACTTTTTTTTTTTGCTGACAATTTGCAATAAACCTGAAAAAAAAATGCTTGGATTTGTTGATTTTATGTGAATTTCCACAGCAACTGGTGGGACTGATTGATGTAATTTAACATCTGGAGTCAAGAGGGCCAGGTAGAAAGCTGTGGCGGGCCACATTTGGCCCCCGGACCTTGAGTTTGACACATGGGGACTAGAAGATGTCGGTTCACAGAAATATGGTTTAGAAATAGAGAATGTGGCTTTATATTTAGAACTGGACAAAGATTTATTTCTTTAAAGTTTTCCTCACAGGGAAATAAAAACTCATCTGGAAGTCTTTAATTTCAAACAGCAGCTAATAGTGTGAACTGGGTCTTCTTGTGGTCCAAAATGTCAAGTAGCAACAGATCCTACAGACTCTTCAGGCTCTAAGGCGACGTTCACACAATGCCACGCTTATTGTCTTTTAAAGTTTATCTTTTGGAAACATCCAGAGAGGATGTGCATTAAATTTAACGAGCTAAAAGTGTTGAAGTCTCTGCACTTCCTCTTTGTGTCAACAGGAACTGTGAGTGAAACTGATACTATTCAACAGTTGGCAATAAGAAAAATACATTTTGTCATTATAGTTAAAAAGTAGTTAAAATGCCTGAGTGGATTTTAATAATACATTTGAAATTAAGGTGCTGTAAAGCCACATAGGAAATATTTTATATATAAGATGTTACTAGTGAAGTTCTGAATTTCTTTGAACAATTTGAATTAATATGAGTTTTAACAACATTTAATTTCCCATTGAAATCAATACAATATTTTTTTAATTGATTTTAATTTATATTATATGACATACAGCTCTGGAAAAAATTAAGAGGCCACTTAAAATGATCAGTTTCCCAGATTTTACTCTTTATAGGTTTATGTTTGAGTAAAATGAACATTGTTCTTTTATTCTATGAACTTCTAACATCATGTCTCTGAAATTCAAAGCAAATATTTAGTATTTATTTGCAGAAAATGAGAAATGGTCAAAATAACAAAACAGATGCAGAGCTTTCAGATCTCAAATAATACAAAGAAAACAAGTTTATATTCAACTAGAAACAACAATACTAATGTTTTAAGTTTTCAGAAATCGGTATTTGGTGGAATAACCTGGAGGTTTTCAATGGGGTTCAGTGCAGTGGACTCTTCATTGTTTCCAGAACTGCACGTTAGTTTTTAAGCGTAGTTGGTCAAACATAATAATAATAAAAAAATCTACACTTCTTATTGAGAAAGTAAATATGATTTGCTCTAAATTTTGCCATTAATTTGTGAGAGGACTCAATTAAAATTTGACCTTTTTGATCAAATAATTACTACAGCAGCTCAAGAATAATTACATTTATTTAATTTACTTAATTACTCAAAGTAATACTAAATAATTTTATACAGAAATAGAAGTGCAGTGGTTTTAAATAGCATATCTGTAAAGTTTTGAGCCTCTATTCAACTGATAAGTTTTGTGAAATTGTTGCATCCATGTTCAGTCAGGATTATTATAATCATTAGATCAGATTAAAGTTTTCACTTTTTTCCCTTCACAGAATCAAACAGTTTCCCTTCTTTTTTTTCTCCTGTGGGTTTGAAATCTGGGTGCCTAAATGTCTCTGAGCGTTTTGGGGTTTTGGTCTGGTGGATCCTGAAGTGTGTCCTCTCCTCTCCTCCACAGCATGTGGGGCGTGGACAAACAGAGCAGCGAGCTGTCTAGCCAAGTGTCCAGTCTGGCTGCCAATCTGAGGTGAACAGCCAACGCTAGTGTGTGTGAAATGTCATGACTTTGTCTGTCAGCCGGGGTTTGGGAGGCTTACTTTGTATTTGGACCGATCCCGCCTCTAAAGCAGCAGAGCAGGAGATTCTAACGGGGCAAGAAAACCGTTTCAAGATGAGAAAATTAAACGGGTTTGATTTATTTTCTTTTGAAATGAGCAAAAGTTGAAGGTTTTCACATTTTGCCACATTACTACAAAATTGGTGACTTCAGTACATGGTGGTGGCAGCATCATGCTGTGAGGATGCATAAGCAGAGACAGGTGACTGGGTGAGGATTTATCGTATCGTTTATCACTTATTGTGAATACCCTAAATTTTGGAATAGAGTAAACCTAGCATGAAACCAGACATGTTTTCATCTTTTAGGGTAAAATTTTTTTGTTTTACAAAAATAACCTGTTCTTAAAAAAATATTAGGTAGAAAAAGTAGATTCTCATTTACAAACATCAACCGAATTTTTCTGAAAAGCAAATCTTACTTCTAAAATAAGAAACCAATCAACCCTAAAAATATAGAAACTCTGAGCCTGCCTGGAAACCCAATTTATGTAATTATTTTTTAAGGTTTTTTTATCGATAGTTAGGACTCAAACGATTAATCGGATTCATTGTGATAAATCGCTTAATGAATAATCAATTTATTGTTAACTGGAGCAAACAGACTGAAAAAGATGCCATTTGGTGAAAAAAAAAAACATATTCAGAGCAGTAATTAATCCAAAACTGGACAAAAAATATTTATATTTGCATTTAAGATTAAAACTCCTCAAGTGGAATAGTTCAGAATTACGAAAGGAATGCTGTGTTATTATAAAATGTTAATTTTCTTATTTAAGGTTTATTTTTATCTCTGTGTATTTCTAATACTGCATGAAAAACAATTAAGTGGTTAAGTGAGAAATCAGTAGAATGTGCCATTGTTTTATCCAATTAATCAATTAATCGTCACAATAATAGATTTAGTTGCAAATCTGAATATTTTGTTGCTTTTAATTAAAATTAAATTTTCAATTAATTATTGAGCAAAAGTCAGTTTTGAAAATGTAAACAAAAGAAAAGGTTTGGACAGCACAGATGTAAATATTGCATCCAGAAAACCCAGGACATGTCCAACCTTCTTATTTTGTCTGCTTCGAACTGAAGTCTGTTTGCGGTGCTCAGAGAAACGGCGTCACTGCGGTGAATCCAAACTTGCCTGCCATAATGTTTCACACTTTTCTCCTCACATGCCTCTAATCCACCTGTTCCCTTTCGGTTTGGGCTCCAACATGTTGTTTTCTCCCCACAGCGTTGGCTCTCCGTCCAACCTGCTCTTGGGTAGAGATGAGTGGTTGGGCCGGTACTGTATCACACTTCCTACTTCCTGTGTGTCTTGTGACTGCTTCTTGGCTGCCGCCCCCTCCCCTCTCTTTAAGCATGCCTGCTGCCAAACAGGAAAGCGGTGTAGCTGTGGTTTCCACCATGTTTTCTAACCAGATTATTATTTTCTTCACATCCTTGCTGACTCACTGCGAACCACCCGTCACACACCCATCATTTCATGCTTCTGTTGGTGGTTTGGGAGCTGCTGTTGGGGACGTTACTTTGCTTTTAAAGGCTCAAAGATGGCCGCCGGTGAATAACTGAGTGTGGCTTTTTCCCTGTTGGTGCCGTTCTGTAATGTTCTGTCCCGACACAAATGGTCTTCTGGGGATCTAATTGTTCGCTTTTTGTCACGTTGCTGATTACTGTTACAGCGCCTTACAAAAGTATTCACACCCCTTTGAGGTTTTTCATGTTTTTGTCATTTTACAACCATGAATGTTGATGAATTTTATTGCAGGATTTTCATATTTTCTGGAAAACTGTGAAGACTGAGTTTAGTTTTTTAAGACTGAAAACAAAAGGAAAATTCACTAAGAATAGAAAAAAATATATTTTCTGTCCTATTTTGGTCGTTCCTTTGTAATACACTTCTACTTTGTCTCCTTCGTGTCTTCCTTTTTTGTGTACTTCCGTGTGTCCTGTTTTTATTTACACTCTTCCCTCTCTCCATCTTTCCTTCTTCTCTTTTCTTTTCTCATTTGATAATTTGCTTCCTTGTATAATTTCTCATCTTCCTGTCTTGTCTCTTATTTCTTACATTCTTGCTTCCTTCTATCCTTGTGCACTTTCATCTATCCTACCTTTTTCCTTTCCTTGCATACTTCCTTGTCTTCTTACTCTTTTCTTTCCTCATATACTTCGACACCTTTCTTCCTTGTATAATTTCTTACCTTCCTTGTTTCCTGTCTTAATTGCATACTTTACTGTCTTTTTCTTTGCTTGTGTACTTTCTTCTCTTACATTTCTTTCCTCATGTCCTTTTTGACACGTTTCTTCCTTTCTTATTTACTTCCGTCGCTCCCACCTTTTTTCTTTCCTTGTATACTTTCTTGTTCCTTATTTCTTTCTTTTCTTGCCCACATTCTTGTCTTACCTTTCCTGCTCAACTTTCTTCCCTTCCTTGTGTGCGTCTTGTCTTCTTCCTCTCTTCCATCCTAGTTTGTTCCTTATCATTTAAAATACTTTTTGACATTATAAATAAATTTACAGTCTGTTGTGTAAATTAAACACTGCGGACTGGGAACTCTGGGAAGTTAGGTATTGAAAAACTGGAGTTTTTACAAAAGAATCCTGTTTTTGTGATGTGATGGATCAACATGTTGCAGTTTGTACCTGAAGTTGAAGGAAAATTATGCATGATTTAATGTTTTAATTTAAAAAAAACAACAAACTTTTACTTTTCACTTCAGTTATCTGCTTCTTTGTGTTGCTCCATCTCATGAAATTCAATAAAACACTGAAGTCTGTGGTTGTAAACTGACCAAATCTGGAAAAGCTAAAAGGTTGCAGAATGATTTTTATCATGAGGGACGGTCAGTGGTTTAGTTTTTGCTCCGCCTCTCATCCTCCATCTTGTTTTCTTCCCTCTGACCCCTTCCAGGCCGGCGACCCACATACCTCAAGGCGCCATGCTGACCGTCAACACCAGCTCCGGCGTGAGCATCAAGTCGGAGCCGGTCTCACCCGGCCGGGACCGGAGCACCCCGTGTCCTCCCCCCGCTCCGCCTCCATCCACCACGCCGTCCTCCACGTCCGGAGGCGCCATCTTGACGGCGCCGCCTCAGTACCCCAGCTCGCTGCTCTGCCTGGAGCCGCCGACGGGTCGCTCGCCCGCAGACAGCGTCAGCAGCAACGCCAGCTCCTTCGAGGGCAGCGACCGCGACGACGGCAGCGCTGCCGGTGGCAGCGGCGGCGGTACCGGAGGCGGAGGCGGCGCCACCGAGCTCCTCAGGGTGTCGAACGAACCGGATCAGGACGGAGGAAACGTAAAACGCATGAGATTGGACGCCTGGGTCACATAGAAGCCGCCTCTCGTCGCCAAGAGGAAGTTCTGACTCGTAAACACTTACCTTCATTATTAGCCCCCCACGACCCCGTGACCCCACCACCCACTGCCATGTGACACTATCACCACACGTCTGCACCTGTCCTGCATTACACGCCGCCATCTTGAACTCACAGGGCTTCGCCAAAAACAGACTGGTTTGGATGTTTGAGCTCAGCTGGATTCGGGTTTTAAGGCCTTGGACGGATTTCTGTCGTGATTTCTGAGGCGTTTGACCTTTTTTTATGCAATTCGATGCAACCACAGGACATTTTTCACGTGGTTTCTCAGTGACCTTCTTCTACTCGCGCGGAGGAGCGTGGATCGGTGGCTCCTCGGCGTTACGGACGCCTGCTGCATGACTCGTCACTTCCTGCTCCTGCAATCCCGCGGCGTTTTGATTGCGTGCTGTCCATTTTTTCCCCTTGATTTCGCCTGGAGACGTTTGAGGGCTGCTGGGAAATGTAGAACTGGACGCTTTAGGTACGGGGTTCCTCCACTGCCTGGAAAAGTCTGGAATTTGACTTCAGGATTTTCCAGGTCTGGAAAAACAAGAGCTTGGAAAAAAATCTGCATTTCCCCCCCAATTTATCTTTTGTGTGTTTCCAACTCCATTGTCTTTCTTTATTTGTGTCCTTCTTACCTTCCTAATGTGTCCCCTTCTTTGTCTCCTATTTTCCTTTCCTAGTGTTTTCCCCCTCACTTGTGTTCTATTTCCTCTCCTACTATCCCTCCTCCCTATAGTCCTATTACCTTTTCTGCAATCTGTCATTTCTTAGTTCCTTCTTCCTTTTCTACTGTCTCTCTGTCCTTGTGTCTTTCTTCCTTCTTTGTATCCTTCCTTCTGAACATTCCTTCATTGTGTCCTACCTCCCTTCCAAGTGTCCTTCTTTCCTATCATCCTTGTGTCCTTTTCTTTTGTTCAAGTTCCTCCCTGTCTTTCCTTCTTTCCTTCCCTATTTAAATCCCTCCGTCAGTAGAAATGTCTCCATCAGATAAATTTAATTTCGATGCTCGATATGAAAATTTGGGCCGATATCTGATATCAATAATGCTGTTTTGGCCGATAACCGATATTTACCGATATTATATGTATTTCTCTACCGTTTTGACACCTTTAGGGGAAAAAAACCCGACCAAAAACAAATGGCAAAGAGATAGATTTATCGGGCCGATACCGACACGTTGGAGTCCAAAGGACTGGGAATTCTGGTTTGGGATTTTTCCATGGAGATGTGAAGGAACCCTGTTGGTAGGAAGAGCCTCCAGAAAAGGGGCGGAGTCGAGCGCCAGCGTGCAGACGTCGGCTCTTCTTCTTCAAAACAAAACCAGACGCCAAACGTCTCCCTGGGCGCAGAGACGCGTCAGACTTTGGGAGCTGCTCCATCCATAGGAACTTCAACGAGCCTCTTTTAGTTTTCTTTAGTATTTGGTTCTTCGGAGTCCAAGTGTTCTTTATCTGTTGGTATTTTAAACATGTCTCGCAGGTCCGTTAGTCGTCCAGAGGTAGAAATTCAGACTTTGTATTAAAAAAAAAGAAAAACATAATAAAAAAATAGGAAGAAAAAAAATCACTCCTTATACAAAAGCTTTGATGTCCTCTTTAGCTCTCTATATCCCTCCATAGCCGTGTTTGGAAAAGTGAAAGGAAAAAAGACTTTTTCTATATTTCTACCGCTTCGAGTCGGCGACAAAGTGAAATAGCTTTTTGGCTTCAACCACGTGTCTGTACATAATGAGTATATTTGCATAGACTTTGCTAGGTATCCCTAAAAACAAGCAATGTGTTGATTCTCAGTGGATCTGTCCGCATATATGAGTGTGACTTTGATATGTTTCTGGAGCCGCGGTGCAGGGGCCGGAGCTAGTTTCAGTAATCCTCCATTTTCTTCTAGTGTTGATGGCGTGCGCACTTTGTCTCACAGAGGCCTGCTTGGTTGTGGTGTCATCATTACTCTCCTGCCGCACATCTTTAAAAACCCACAAATGAAGGTAAATCGTACACCGTGATGTAAACTCTTTATTACTATTCTTGTTAGGATTATCATTATTATTATTATTAGGACACTGCCATTCACTTATATTGTAGCGATGGAGATGAAATACACTTTGAATTGAGTGTACCATGTAAAAATGTTTTCCACTTTACGCAGACACAGATGATGCTGGCTTTCCTCTTTGCAGATTGGTTTCAGGTTTTCTGTTTTTCTGTCATTTCAAGCGTGAGCCCAGGTGGAGCAGAAAGCTTGCTGATGAACCTATTATTATATTTTTTTTCTGCCCCAATCAGGAATCAAGATGTTAATATTTCACATACATTTGATAAGCAGCTTCTTTGTCGTGGTTTCGGCCCAAAAATATAAAATATTTATAATCAGAGACTCCAAAGATGCATAGATTGGGCTTTTTCTGTTCTGAAGAAAACCAGGGCTGAAGCAATTAATCGGATTAATCATGAGGAGTAGATTATTGGAACAATCGTTAGCCTATTTAGTAGTTGATCAATAATTAACAGGAGTACACAAATTCAGAAAGAAAAATGTTATTTGCTGAAAGAGAGAGCATAAAACTACAAAAATATAAACATTTTACAAAAAAAAGCTAAAGGAATTCTGTTATTTCATTTCAGGTAATAAAAAATTTTTCTTTTTTTAAAAAAAAAATTATTTATCTGCAACTTTTACAATACTTCTAATATTTTATTTTTAAATCAGGCTTAAGTGGTTAAGAATGTGTCCATTCTTCCATCTGATTAATCGTCAAAATAATCAATTAATCCCCAGAATATTTGATTAATTGAAACAATCGTTAGCTGCAGCTTTAAAGAAAATTTGTCGTTTTCAAACTGAAATTATCCTCATTTATGCATCAAGCATGTCCCTGATTTTTCTCAAATAAAAAAGCAGCATAAACTTGTTAAATAGTGAGAATCTTTACTCTGAATTCTCTTTAAGAATAAGAGGTCAGGATTCGACCTGCTAATCAAAGGGAAAACTGGACAATTCCAGCCGCTGGTTTGATAGTTTAGCACTAGACTATTGCATTTTTACTCAATGTATTTATTATAAATACATAATGAACTCAAGTCCTACCATTTCTCTTGGTAAATCTGTTTTAATTTCCTTTTTGAGCTGTAATAAAACAAAACAAAGGAGCAGCACAAGGCGAACTGTGTTGCTCAGCAATCATCTTATATTAGTAATAAACATTTCAGATATCCGTCTGATAATTGATCCACGTTTGCAGCCAGCTGATGATAATTTTCTGTAATAATCAGAAAATTGCTCCTTATTTTGTTTGTGCTGTGAATTTGAATTTCTCGACAGGGATTCTGCACTCAGAGATAATTATCCACATTTATTAGAATCTCGGTTAAGACAAAAATACAAAGTAGATTGTCACCAGCGTACTTCATAATTACTGGCACCCCTGATAACGATGCCTTAAAAAACTAGTTCCAGTTTAACATCGGGCTCTGACGGAAGAGGCCCGCAGCATCACGGATCCTCTAAAGTCTGTTTTCATGTTGGATTGAAATTCTGATCCTGCTGGGGGTTTTCAATTCAATTCAAATTCAAAAACACTTCATTGATACCCAGTGGAAATGAAATAAAATTAAATCAATCTGGCCAAAGAAGTGAGTTCCAGGGTGTTTACGTTTGCGATAGTAGGAAACAAAATGACTTTTTTCCAAACATTTAGTGTATAAACACAGTTTAATCTGGACTTTTTTGATTTTAGTTACTCCTCCTAACAGCGAACTTGTTTGAAGTTTTAACTTTAATTGTTTCTCTGACTTTAGTTAAGGGTAAGTTGAGGAAAGTAGCTAATTTCTCTAGCGTTTTTCTAGCTGAACATGAATGTGGTTTTAAGGAGTCTCTAAGTAAAGTCGGCCTGTTATGAATAAATGCTCTCCAAAGGTTGAAGCTGCTGCAGCAATAAGTCATTTTTCACACGTCCTTAGCGGGGGCGCTAGTAGATGTGAAGACGCTGAGAGTCGTAATCGGTGTGAAACGAGTTCGTGACTCTGAAAGCCCAACATAACCACTAACAACCAGTTAGGAACAAAAGCATGAATTTATTTATTTTCCTGTTTTTAGCAGCTCATCTGGCTTCAGAAGCCTCCCACCCCCCATGCTCACATCTTGAGTTTGCTCTTCCTTTTTGTAGGATTTTTGAGAAATGGGCAAAAGTTTCTCAGACTTTCCCCTCTGAACTCTGACGGGCGCCGACATTTCACCCATTTTTCTCCTTTTTTTTCTCTCAGACATGCAAAGAAAGGTTGCAGTGTAGAGACAATCTATATGAGGAAACCTGCACCCCTGTTACCTGTTGTGTATAATGTTTTTTAGAAACTCACTATTTTTGGATTAATTTGTGCTGGTGACAGTTCAGACGTCTGTTTATTATGATGATGATGATATTCTGGAGCTTTTATTTTATGGCTATATTTTTGTGTAGGATAGCTGTTTTCGTTCCACCTCTTTTTAATCTTCCTTATAAACATATAGTACTGGTTTCCTTTTTTGTTTTGAAACAACTTGCTGAAAATTGCACGATCAGTTCTTGTGGTATTAGCAAGTGCAACGAAGGAAATACCAGTTAAATGCTGCAGTTTTAATTAAGATATATAGAATATATTTATAAAACGGGAAACAACAGAAATTAGTCATTCATGGAATAAAAAACAAAACATGTAAATGCATGGGACACAGGTAACAGCTAAGCTTCTGTTACGTACAGTAATGATAAGGACATGCATCATAAATGAGTTAAAACAGCTCAGAATAATGTAGCATATGAAATACTAAAGATGAAATTTATAGCTAATATATTGTGTCGAGCTGGTCTGCTTTGGGTTTTATTGTAAAGAAGATATTTCTTTTTTTGTTGTTCTTTTTGTTTTTGAGAATGATATACAGTTTGTGTATATTTTCATATACAAAGTATGCACTGATATGTTATTAAAATTCTATACCGCTTTTACAAAAAAAGTGTTTGTTGTACCAAAGTATCCAAGTCCCTTGAAACCTTTATCCTTTTTGCGTATGTTTTACCGTATTTTATATATTAAATAGACAAACTGAGTGAAATGACACCAAATCTGTGGGTTTTATTTTCTGGTCTTGGTAGAAAAGTGTTGCAGCACTTTTATCTCCGGCTGTTTTTCACGGTTTTGGTGAGAACTGCGCCGCTAAATTTAGCTGGTTTCTCGTGACCTTGCTCGGCTCTCGGGAGCAACAACAGGAGCTGATGAAGAAATTAGCGTTGTGGTGCTGAAAGATGCTCCTCATCATGTTGGCTCATTAAGTTTTTTTTTTTGTCCAGCACAAAGTGCAGAAATATAAATCCAGGGTCTTTTTTTCCAGGTCTGGATAAATCTAGGAAAAGAAAATATTTGGATTTCCAAACTTTATTCCCTCACCTCCAACTACAATTCAAGAACAAATCAAACAAAGTAGGACAAAACTATGATTTTTAAATCAAAATCTACTCACAAAAATGTTAAACGTGACACAAAGTAAGATTTTTTACGTTCCTTCTGTTGTCATGGTAACTAAGGCCACATCTACTTGTTGATTTATACTCTAAAGTTCAACTTGGTGCACCCAAGTCTACGTTTGTATCAAATGTATTAAAACTTTATTAAATACGTCGGGTGTTTTCAAATGAAGACTGACGTAAATCCTGTTTTTACCTTTCAGTTTTCTTCAATCCAGCCCAGAATAATAATATCCAAACTGGATGCCTTTCATTTAATAAGGAAAAGAACATTTGACATTTTGGATCTACAATCCTGTTCCTACAAAAACAATTTGATTATTTCTTTAATTAAAATAGTTCATTGTTGAATATGTAGATGTGTCTTCTTTGAAGAAGACGACTGCATGGCTTTCTGCTGGCGTTGGGTCGTTCATCCAGCAGGCTGCCGAGTTTTTGAGATAAAAATGTTTAAAGTTGACAGGAAATTTGAAAATATCACTTGATAATTACATGTTATTGAAAGATTGGAAGGAAGAGTAATACCTGAAGACCAACTATAAAGTCTTAAAAAATGCAAGCATTTTTTTTAAAACTTAAATAAGCAATGCTAAGCCTGGTGGGGGCACAAGTAAAGCCTGGTGGCCCACCAGGCTTATAATACACTGGAGGAAACCCTGACATGATTTTCTGGGGTAGCCAGCATTTTTTTAAAAGCGGGGGATGGACCCCTTACGCCCCCCTCTTAGGGTTGCCACTGGTTTTATTTTACTTTCTCACATAAACTATTTTAAATCGACTGAATTACCTACAATAAGAAACATTTTTGCAACTAAAGTTGGGTTTTTTTCCCCTGCTCTTTAAGCTGTTTTTGCACACACAAAAAAAAATCTGCTCAAGTTAAATTCAGGTCGTCTGGTTTAGCGATACCATGGACGCCCATATATGGGCATCTGCCCGTTTCCCGTCTAAGTTTTGCCCCTAAACAATTAAAATGTAAACATTTCTTCACCTCCAAACATTCACTTGAGTGGCATAAAAGTTTTAATGTTAAAGAGGCCAGCAGGGCTTCTGTTTACCAGACTATAACATGTTCAATCATCTGAGTCGTTGAGGGTTTATTGGAGTTGCTGCTCAGGTCATGACATGTCTTGCTATGGAAAAACATGAAGGGAGTTGCTGCAAAAACACGCACCACCCCCACAAAGAGAGAAAAAAGGTTACGCTGAAATAAGAGAACATTTTGTATCTTAATCAATTGATGCCAACTTTGCTTTAACTGTGCTTAAAGTATTTAGATTTTTTATTTTTATTTTATGACCTAATTATAGTACATCAATCAATGGGATTTAATATATGGGAACATAAAACTGACTTTATGTTGTAATAATTGTCCATAGTTAGTTATAGTCATGTGTTACAATGTTTTCAAAATACTTTTACAGACTCAAAGATCTGAGTTACTGAGAAGAGCAGATCTTTTTATTCAACAGACTCGCGGTCCACACAGACATAAAAAACAAAGACATGATGCACAACATGATAAAAAACTGAGTTCAGATTTTAGCAGGAGTATGTTGGTTATAAATGGATGCCATTTCCAAACATACACTGATTTAGAGTAAACTTAACACCAAAAATATTGCAGAGTGTATTTTGCACAAAACAGATTACAGGTTGTTGGAGATAAATATCGATTTCCAGTGTTTGTCATTTGGGATTGGCAGCAGTTTTTTTTAATATGGAAGCCATCGAAGCTTGGTTTTGTTTTTTGATTTTTTTACATTAAGTCTGTCAGCAGAAGACAGACGATCCAATAACCAGTAATTTATTCTGCATTGTCAGCTTTATGCACCATAAAACTTCACTGAACCGAATTACTGAATGAAATATTGATCCCATCTGCTTCACATCATTCAGGAAAAAGAGATGAGTTTTTTTTTTTTTTTTTTAGCAGATTATGTTGTAAACAACGAGAAGCTTTGATCTGGGAAACAATGATTTAAGTTTCATTTAATGATTTATGTTAACAACAGTGCGGAAAAATGAAAACTGCATTCATTTAAAAACAAAAACATCATAACATTTTGAGAAAAATAAAAATGACCATAAAATACAGAATTTTTTTTTTTTGTTTTTAGCGTTTGTGCTTTGAGGGACTGAGGGGAAATCTGTGAAAACAATTTGTTTTATGAATCCAACTTGTTTTGCAAAACATTTAAACAGAAATAAAAAAACATAAAAATACAAATTTAAAACTTCACATTTAAATGTAAAAAAGTCAAAGGGAACAACTGTTATCGATTACACTCTAAACCACATATTTACAACAATTTAATTCAATAAAGGTTTAGAAATGTTTTTTTTTTCTTTAATAGATAAACCAAATTGTTTAGGATTTACTCTGGACTTTTTGATCAAACTTTAAATTTTTCTCTATTTAAATCAAACATTTCTCCCACTTGCTCTTCTCTAATTGAAGCTCATATTTTATGTTTTTATTAATCAAAACTGACATTTTAGTTTATTCAAAATAGACTCATTAAATCCAAAGTTTTCACACTTCTCATTTAATTCAGACTTTTAAAGTCTACAACCAGATAGTCGCTTGTTTATACATTAAGAACATTTTTTACTTACATTTGTTCATTTAAGTGAATATAAAATTAAAAAAAGAGGCACATGTTATAAATTGGTTTTAATTGCATATTGTTACTAAGGTTTCATTCAAACACAGACTGAGAGCCTCAGATGCTTATCTGAGCCAAACAAAACAAACTTAATCTCTTTAATAGCAGATAATTGGCACATAATAAGTAAACACTTAGAAAAATGCAGAGAAAATATGTAAGTTTGGTTGCATATAACAACTAATAACTATATAACTACAGGCAGGGCGATGCAAAGGTTAATACAGGAATGAATAGTGAACACTATAATCCTCAGGATTTTAACTAGATCAGACGTATTTGTAGATATTAAGTGAGAGCAGAAGTTTTGTTTGGCTTCCAACCCAGTAAATTCAGTGGTTTTATTTACAGAGTCATTACAGATTTCCAAACTAAGCTTGTTTGGTTGGTTTTCCGTTGTAAACAAGCAGCTTAACTCGCCACATGTTCACCGCAGAGACATAAAAGTCTAAATCAGACTCAAACTTAATGATTAAACATGCAAAAGGTGTCTGTGCGATTGGCCTGAGTAAGTCATGTTTCCTGAGGTTCCTGAAGGTGTCGCAGCTGCTTTTCTCACCACGTTTTGGAGACCTTAAAATCATTAGTGCACCTTGGGCGAAGGATCGGTGCTGGGCGGCGCCACGTCGAACACGGAGCCCGGCCCGACCTCCGAGCAGACGAAGTAGACGTTGGCGCCCAGCATCACCAGGACGGGCAGGAAGGAGAAGCCGAAGCCGAAGGCCCTGATGGTGCTGCCCAGAGCGAGGCAGACCCAGTAGATCAGCCTGCAGAGAGACGAGGATCCATCAGAACCACTTACAGCAACAACAGGAGAAATATCAGAACAGAACCTCTAGAGAAACCCGACAACTGAGTTCAGGCTGAAAAATGTCTTCTGGCATTTCTTCAAATTATAGAGTGGATGAATAAATGGAGGGAGGGAAGGAGGGAGGGGGCGCGAGAGAGAGAGAGATGGATGGATGGATGGATGGATGGCTGTTGGTGAAACGGTTGGTTGGATGAACAGATTCCCTGGCTGAATTGTTGATTTCTCTGATTTGATCATCAACCAACTTTACAAATAAAAGAAAAACATCACATCGTCTTTTCTGATTGTCAGATGTGTTTTTAAACAAAATTACCTCCAAAACGAACTAAGACGTAGCAGAAAGTGAACATAAATCACTCCAGAAACTTCCAACCAGGTTGAGCAACAGATCAAACATCTCTGGTTCAGATAGTAAAGTTGCAAGTAGGAACTTGTGTTTCCTGCTGAGTCACTGCTGGCTTCATGAACCAGGTTAGGGTTAGTACATTTCCACCCGTGTTTATGAAGAAAAAAAACACACTTTGTTGAGTATTACTGGCGGTTGAACTTGCAGGAAGTTTAATTGTTACAAAAGGAAGTGTGTTGCTGGAAAGTGTTTAGATAATGATCCATCGATCGGTTGAAGGCAGACAAACAAAACATGAACACTTTGCCAAGACTAAGATATGGAGCCGCTTTTCTAAGAGTGAGAAATCTAAGCATCTGGATGATCCAAAGGACAGTTAATATTGTTTTAAAGGTGACTATTATACTTCCTTGAATAGGTTGGGATAGGTCTGTGGGTGACGTAAAACATGTTTATTACATTTCTTACAAAAAATTATTCTTAGATAATGAGATTTTAGTCTGCTCGGTTCTTTCTGAATGATCTACTTTAGAGCCTCTTGTCACTTTAAATCCAAATAATCTGCTGCTGGCAACGCCTCCCAATTCAACTTTTACCACGTGAAAATGGCTGCAAGCAGATGTGCAATTATATGACTGTCCAACTTTGAAAAGCAGAAGTAGAGCCTCCTGCACAACCAACAAGAACAACCAAGTGGATTCTAAACACTTGCTGCAACAACAAAAAAAAAAAAAACATTTGTCTTTTCCAGAAGTCAATGTAGAGCGCATGCAGAGGTAAAATCAGCTGACCAAACGTGCTGCCGCTTTACTCAGGTTGCTAGGTGACGGGTGGAACTCCGCTGGGGTTGCTAGGTGACGGGTGGAACTCCGCTGGGGTTGCTAGGTGACGGGTGGAACTGCGCTGGGGTTGCTAGGTGACGGGTGGAACTCCCCTGGGGTTGCTAGGTGACGGGTGGAACTCCGCTGGGGTTGCTAGGTGACGGGTAGTGCCTGCTGATTTGTGACGTTACATTCAGGAGGTTTTTGAAACGGCTCTTTTGCTGGACACCAAAAAATGTTGATTTATTGTTTCTTTTTTTGTTGTTTTTTTTTTNTAAANCACTTGNGGTGGANGTACAAAAACATAAAAAATGTGAGTTTTGCATAACAGGCTCCCTTTAAAAACAACAATCAGCACAACAATAAAATCCCTTTTATCCATTTTGCGTAAACACCTACCTGCCAAAAACAAATATGATGGTGAGTAGCGGCACCAGCTTAAGAAGGTCCTGGCTGATGTACGTTGCCATGACGGCAAGCTGCAGGAAGTAGAAGAGGAAGAGATACAGCGATTCGTTGACATAGTGCCAGTGAACCATCACTTCCTTGTCCACCAGATGACCCTGATAGAGCGGCTTCACGGCGCTGAAACGCAGCCGGACGATTCCCTGGACCAACACACCTGCGCACACACACACACACACACACACACACACACACACACCCACACACACACACACACACACACACACGTTACTGGAAATCAGAGCAGAAATCACACAACATATGGGAACTGTGAGGTCTTGCTAGCGCTAAAATGATTAATTGATTAATTATTAACTGGAGTATACAGACTTCAACAACACAGAGCAGAAATTAATTAAAAAATGTACAAAAAACATAAAAAATAGCATTTAAGATGAAAAACATAAAAATGTTCGACCTAGAAGTCGTCAAGTCACAGTTTTAGCTTCACCTGGTTCAAATTTTGTAAATAAATCTCCTGTTAACCACCTTTTACTATGCAATTGTTAATGAGTTTATCCAAAAAATAACCAACAGATCAGTCTTACACTTCATTAGAAAGCAGAAAGGTTGAGCTTTTCACATGTTAGACATACATTAGCTGTAGATGCATCTTTTACTACAAATAATCAAGCAAACACTAAAAAAATGCTGTTATTATCATGTCTCTGTTCAAACAATCACTTGTAATATTAAGTTTTTCCAAAAAGACAAATGTTAAGAATTAGAAGACAAGGACCACCATCATTGGAAAATGTACTCGTTGAACACATTTCAGTAGATTCTCACTTACATTATAAATAACATAATGATCTTGTGATTATCATTTTTGTTTCTTCCTTTTTTCTCTCTCTTTTTTTGTCTTTTTTCTGTAATATTCTTCCTTTACATTACAGGTAATTCCTTTACATAATGTAACAAACTTCACTTGGTAACTTTTTAACTCTGTTAATTTATTCATTGCATGCTTATATTTAGCCTCTTAAAGAAAATGTATTGATTTATTAGTATTGTCATTATTATTACTTGATTGTTGTTTTAATTTGTTTACATGCTGATGTCAGTGTTAATTCATTTAGTTCAGCATCACTGCTCACACACTGATTAATATTCATTAATTTACTCAAAGTACTTTTTGTTTTTTCCTTTTTTATACCGTTGCAACGTACAATAAATAACTAGAGAAAAAACAAGAAATGCCTTTTATGCAAGAAAATGTTCTCTTATTTCATTTATTTGTTTATCTGCATTAACGTATTTCTAATATCGTATAAAAAAGGCCTAAAAATTAGCAGAATCAATATTTGTATTCAATTAATCGTTCACTAAAATAATCGTTAGTTCCAGCCGTAGGTCTTACCCAGGATGATGGGGATGATGGCAAAAAATGAGCAGCGAAGTGTGTAGAGCACTCTGTAGGGGGCGCTGTCGAGCTTGGGTGGGTCAAAGGGCAGCAGCGCGTATCCACCCCACACCAGCAGGGGGAAGCATAACCCTGCGGCCAGCGTGGCTAGCACCAGCTGCAGCTTCTCGCTGCACACATCTGAGGACGAGATGCAGTCAGAGGTTATCAGAGGAGAAACAAAACATAATAAAAGATCAAAACTGAAGCTAACAGTTCACAATATTGGTTTAACTATTAATAAATGCATTTTTTGATCAACAAGCAAACTCCGTGGAGAAAGACGTAGAGAGCATATGGTCCATGTTCTCCCTGGGTTTCCACCCACAGTCACTTCTCTACTTAAAACCCAAATATAAATGTAATTAATTTCCATAATGTTTTATTACCTTATAATTAAGTGAAATCTTTTAAACTGGTAGTCAGGTTTCAACCCAAATAAACTTTTCACTTATCAGACTGATATATTTTAATTCAGGCTGGGACTTTAATGCTTTAATTTTGATTATTTGATTGCATAGATTTTAACACGTTAAACATTTTAACACGATTAATTGCTCTTTATTTTTCCTTGAACTTCTGGGGGTTAATTTTTGCTTTAAAAAAAACAAACAATTTGATGGAAAGCTGTAAAAGAAAATTGTTGTGTGCAAGTTGTGCAAAACGAGTTGGCTAATCACCAAATATATTCAAGTATAAAATATCATCTCAGTCGTAAATATGTTGCAGCAGCA